TTACATATTTTTGCAATATTTAAAAAACTAAATTCAGTTTGAAAGTTACAGAAAATACGATCATTCATTAAAAAAAATCATTTACTGTTTTTTAAATAGCAAGCTGTTAAAAGTACAATAATTAGTAGCAATGCTGATGATTTTTAACATCATTTCTTTCGATCATATGTAAATATATTTATACACACTTGTTTTAGTTAATGGCAGATTCTCATGGCCATTTTATTCATTTTTTTTCAAATCAGTAACATTCCTTTGGGTACTTTCCCTTGGATACTGCACAGAAATGATTTAAATAATATACACAATAGTAAGAACTGTGCATTTAAATCTGCTCTTCATTAAACAGCATACAACAAAAAGTTTTTCCCCATTTATCTTGAATTTTATTGCTATCACAAGCATGTACAAAAATTAACAATGAAAATGAAATGTATTCAAATGTAATAATTAAAAAACATAACTTGCAACATTCGTATTCATACTAAGAAATATACTACAAATTCCAAGAGAAAAATAACAGAACTGCAATTTGCACTTAATGTAAAATTTAATGTATTTTTAAGTATTATATGATTAAAAATGCAATAATTATGGATTACAGTATTTAGTAGTAATGCAGATGTTTCTTAGCACCATTTCTTTCAATCATATGAGATTATATACATATTTTTAGCTTCTAAATTTGAGTATAATGGGAATTACGATTATCATTTATATGCTTTTTATTATTTTTATTGCCAGTTGTGTATGTTGTTTCTTAGGTATTTCATTTCACATATGAATGTTGGAAGGCCTTTTTTGTTATAAGATTTATGTATGTTTCTTGTATGAAATATTTTTTATCACATTTATTAGCTAATTTATATAGTCTTTCATTTACATGCGCTGGAGATATAGAAGTTGATGGTTATATATTTTGCTCTGAAACACGAATAAATTAATACTTGAGCCTGGATAAAATATTAATTATTATCTTAAGAACCCCTTCCCAATTTATCATGACAGTAGCAATTTTCAAGCAGCGTTTACATTTTTGTAAAATGTTCGTTTGTTTTTTCGGTTCTTTCAATTATATTTATGCATAAAGTTAATTAAAATATCTGTAAAAAGCTTAAAAAGTGTGTATGTATATAAAGCCTCCTTTCTGTCAGCTATTTTAATTAAATAAGCAACATGATAAAGTTATATTTCCGACAAAAATTTAAAAATCCAGATGACTTTCCAACGATAACATCGGACGGAAAGCTCCGCCATGTTTATTAAGTGTCATGGCCTTCTCCCTCTCGATGGTCACGCTAGAGCAGAGTTTCTTAAACTATATGTTGTGAGTCCCCCTGGGGTGTCGGGGGACCTGTAGCAAGGGGTCTCCAAAAATTTTAGCAGTTTTGAAATTTCTTTAACTTATAATAATTTTACACAATGTATCTGAAAATAGATAAAGATAAGACAATATAGACAAAGAAAAAACGAAAGCATTTCGCCACATTCTTTTTATAATATAAATGTTATTTTACTTGCTTTGCATGTGACTCTGTTATTTCATCTGTTACATATTTAAAATTTTCACATTGTTTTATGTCTTAAAATTAGAAATTAAAGTTAATGACCTAAAGCTGCAATAGTGTATTACAGTACAAGTGAAAAAATTGAGTTTCAGTCACGTGTGTGTCAGATTTCCGCAATGCTTATGGAGGTCCTACAAAATTTTGGTAAATATTATGAGGTCCTGGGGTCACGAAAAAAATCTCGGTGATAAGAAGGCACTGCGAAAAAATCTTAGTGATAAAAAGGGGTCACGACTGAAAAAAGTTTAAGAAGGCCTGGACTAGAGCTTATTTATCAAGCCAACAGTCTAAAGTCCATAGACATTCTTAGCTTTGGGAAAATTCAAACATACCTCCATGCAAATTCCAGCATTTAAGCATAAATTTGGTTGCTCCACTACCTGTTTGCAAAGGATTCAAATATTTTCTAATTATCTTTGATTAGTACACATGATAGATTGAAGCAGTGCCATTAAAAGATCAATCACTAAATCTTTGATTTATACTTGGTTTTCATGCTTTGAAATTCTGAACTACACGAATACTTTAACTGCATATCATCTGCAGGCAAATGGCTTGATCGAAAGACAACTCAGCAAGCCTAAAATGTCACCTGCTGGAATCAAAATCATGGCTAAAAGCATTACTTTCGTTCTTTTAGGCATAAGATCTGCCGTCGAAGATTTGAGTTGCTCATCTGCAAACCTTGTATATGGATCTGCCCTAGCATACCGTCTCTTGGTAATGCTTGGTAAGCCTATAGCATTACCAAGAGAATCCTTTTCAAAAATATCTCAGATCAAACAATCTGAATTTTCTCAAAATCTTCTGAAAATAATAAAGGATATGAAGCCAAGACCTTTCACAACCCATGAAAATATAAGTCTTTGTTTCTAAACAACTTTTGAACTCTTCTCACATATTCCTGTACAACAACAGTTTTTCGCTACAGCATGTACATCTTAGACTGAATATAAGACTGAAGGACACCAATGATCATTAAATCCATGGTCATCGTTGACCATCAAGATACTGATGTGGGTTTTCAGTGACCAGTTGTTTAGGACAATGCACTGTTGTTGCAGTGACAATGCTTGGCAAAGCAATGTATGATAAGTATTTGATAATGTTATTTAATACTCAAACACTTTTGGAAAATCTCCCTAAAGATGTATCTAATGTCTGCCTGAAAATTATCAGAAAATGAATAAATGAATTTACATGTAATTTTTATTTAATATCTCCATACGAAAACAATTTATAATCTGCTGACATAACACAGATTGCATGAAAATTTTGTGTATTTTTATGTAAAAACTGCAGACTCCATTCAGTATGGATTCTGCAACTTGCCTGGATAAAAACTTATTAATGATATGCATTGGCATTCACAATGTGTATGTGGGTATAGGGTGTTTATTTTCCATATGTTGCATTTTTCTCCATCAATATCAAAATAAATATCACTCATGTTATCAGTTAGTCTAAGAATTTATTTTCAGTTTAATTTCTACCACAGTATATTTGGCATTCCATAATGTATCTTTAATATTCCAAATTAGATTCTGAAAACATTTTAATTCTTTAGCCACTTTGTGATAGGTAAATTCTTATTTTCAATAAATTTTGTTGGGGTGCTGAAAACAATTTTGCATGTTGAATTTTTTTGTCAAATGCTCTAGATTTTTCTAGCATTGAAACATTATAGTCTCCATTCTGCATTAGAACTTTATAGCCTTTTAGTAGTGTTATGCTGGAATTAATGATGTGAAATAATGCAGCAAGGTAACCTAAGCTCGTCATATTTTTGTATGCAGCAGCCAAAAACTTATTGATTTTTATTAACATCTGATAATTTAAGCAATTTCTTTTTATTGATTTTTCTATTTCTTATGTAAATAGGAGCAAATACAAAAACTATGTTTTGTAAATTTAAAGCTTTGAATACATCCTTTTAAAATTTTATTTATAAGTACAGCATTGTTAAAAGTAAAATAGTGTGTAAAAAGGAATTAAATTAATTAAACATTAAACACATTTTTGAAATATTAATGAGTAATTATTGATCTAAGTCAGTGATAAATTAATGGGATTCTTAGCTTTGCTTTTGTTGTTTGTTGTGTTGTTTCAGGTGTGTTACCCCTGTGGAGGTACCAACTAAATATATACATAAAACACATAACTGTGATTTGGTTCATTTTGTCATTTTTTTAATTTTTTTTTTTTTTTTTTTTTACTTTGTCTTGTTATCTTATAAAACTCCTTGTGTTTATTTGTGCAACCATGTCAGTTGTTTCTGTTTTATGAGTGTAGTTTTATTGATCATTTTGTAATTTTATGACTACAGTTTTTAGTTTTACTGTCTCTTATACTTTAAAGTGACCATATTTTCATTGAGACAAAGCGGGACAAATGGAATGAAATGAGAATTATAATTTAGTTATGACACATAATTCAAAAAAAAAAAATTATTATATACATTCATATACTTGTCTATAAATATACAAAAATATATTTATTATTAACTGTATGTAACTATAAAAATATTTGTAAAAAACAATAATTTGAATATTATGTTTTTTAATTAATTTAATATTTTATTTAAAAAAATTATGATTTTCTTTCACGGTTATATTTTTTATCTGAGTGAATTCTTTGCTATAGATTTGGACCATTTATTAAAATGTCGTGAAATTTCTCAAATGAATTGATCAAATTATATTTTAGGCTATTAATACAGATTTTAAAGTTTTAATGTTCAACTGCGTTTTTTTCAATTTTCCATATTTTATTGATACTAGAAAAAACACGTTCTGTTGCTGCATTTGTTCCTGGAGGGAAGAGCGTGTGTTCTACAGTTTTCCAAGATATTTTCATGAGGAATTATTATTCTGTTTAAAATGAAGGAATAACTCCATCCAATTTTTGTCCATTTCCACACTTGCAGACAACCAACATTTAATTTTTTCATCAGTAACGTTATCTTTTTGCAAATGACACCTCATCAAAAAGATCATTTTCACAAATATTATTTTTGGGAAAATGGTTACTAATATATTAAAAAGATTTTTCCACATATTCCCATAAAATCTCTGTTTTTAATGTCCTTCAATGAAAGTTTTTAATATCCTCGAATTGAACTATCCGTTCTTCAAGATATTCCAAGCAGTTATTATTATACAAACTAGCGACCCGCTCCGGCTTTGCACGGGTATAAAATATATAGCCTATGTCACTCACTGAAAAAATGATTAAAATCGATCCAGTAGTTTTGATTTATTCATTACTGCCCGTGGACCGCACGCGTTAAATTTGGAGTAAAACAATTCCCCTTTCCCTATACCATGAAGATTTCCTGTTATCTTTGGAATATCTAAATTCATACACTACTTTTTTACTTATTTACTTTTTACATTTTTACCTATTTATTTTATTTTTAGAACAATTAATATATTACAGAATGTCTTTATATACAACTTTCACAGCTTTCTTGTCATTAGACAATACAAACATGTTTTCTCTAGAGGTTACTCTTGAAAGAGCGACATACAGTTGGCCATGTGAAAAACAGTCAATGCTCAAATCTAAGCCTGCAACGTTGAAGGTTTGAACCTGCGATTTATTAATGGTAATTGCAAAAGATGTCTTTACCGGAAACTGTAAACATTTAAATTGGAAGGGTAAATTCGATGGTATCAGAGGGATTCGAGGAATCAATACATCTTCTCCGGTACCACATCCTGTGAGTATCGTGCACTCTATTATGAAAGTTTTCAGTGATTTTACCAGCAAACGCGTGCCATTGCAAAGTTTAGGTGGATTCAGGTTTCTTAATAAAATAACAGGACAACCTACTTTCAACACCATTTTGTGAGGAGGGAGTCCAGACGGGTTCAAAGAGTTTAGAAATTCTGTAGGAAAATGAACAGCTTCTTCCAAATCGAGAACAGTATTGACCGAGTAGTATATTTTCGTTGGTGCATCAATCTTTGAAAGAATCAAGTTATTTACCTTATCTACTTGTTCGTTAGTTGGTGACAGAATCGCTCTTTCTTTAAACCAAGATATTGTCTTATAACTTATGTTATCAATGTCAGGATAGACATTGTTGACTAACTCTTGGATGTTGTCTATCAAAACACAAAGGTTTTCTAGGTTAATCCTTCCCTCACTTTGTGTTAACTCTCCATTGCCAACTTTTAGCAGCATCTCTGGAAATAGCCTGTTCTCACGTGAAGATGACGAAACCCTCATATTAGTTTTAAGCTCTAATTTATTGACATGTGGCCAAAGGTTGGATCTTTTTAGGGAAGTATTTATTTCGTCAGCACGTGTTTCTTGAGTCACAACTGGTAGGATTTGACGGAAATCTCCCGAGAACAGAATTGTACATCCACCCATAGGTGAATTTTTGTTGTGCAAATCGCGCATTGTCTTATCCAGTGTTTCCACAGACGTCTTGTTTGACATGGTAGCTCGTCCCAGACTATTAATGAGCAGTCACGCATTAATTTTCCTGTATTGCTCTGTTTAGAAACACTACAGACGTTGTTATTATCATTGGTGGCGATTTTCAGCGGGAGCTTGAATGTAGAGTGTGCGGTTCGTCCTCCTTCCAAAAGTGTAGCGGCAATGCCGGATGACGCAACAGCTAACGCATTTTTTCCGGTAGATCTCACTTTAAAAGCAGATTGATTAAAAATGTTTTTCCTGTACCTCCTGGGGCATCAAGGAAAAATAATTTCCCTTCATTGTTATCAATTGTTGATAGTAATGCAGTGAATACTTTTTTCTGATCGATGTTTAATCGTGGTTCATATTGAGCTATATTTTGTAAAAGTCTCGTTTGATCGTATGATGTTTCTCTTGTGTATTCGGCACTGTTAGTTAAATCTGAGTTAGTAGTATTAGCTGGCATCGGCAGCCCAAAATCCTTGATCGATTTACCCAAAAGTAATTGCTCTACTCTGTTCAATTCAAATAATGATTCGTCAAATATGTTTTGATCATATTGTACATCATCTGAGTTTTTTAACTCTCGCCGTCGCCGAATCAGAATATCACTGGCCATATTTTCTTGAAATTTATTCCATAGATTAACAGAATCAGTTACTTGACAAAACGCTACTATGACGGCAAATAAATATCTTAATGATGTAGCTGAACTACAAACAGCTGTTTCCGATAATGTGTTTTCCCAGTGAGAATCGTCTTCCAAGAGCCCCATAGCTTTGCATGCTGCTTGGTAAGTATTGTAAACAACACCTTGTACAGTTCTTAGGTGTGCAAAGGATGTCGGGCCTTTTACAATATGCAGTAACATTCTCAGATAAAAGCATTCGCTGTTGTTGGGATGAATCACGTAGACTCTGCCAAGAGCATCCGTTTTTTTTTACTCCGGGGAAACCATCAACCGCAGTACCTTGTTTTCGCCGTTGAAAAGTTTTAGAACTCTGGTTCCATGTATAGTAACTTGGAACTCTGTCATATGTCAGTGTTTTCACGAAATCATCTTGAGCACATAACTTGAAGAAGTGCTGTCAATGTTGTATCCCGCGGGTTATTAACAACTTCTTGTATATTGTTCTCAGTGAAATATACTCTTTGTCCATTTTCTAAATGAACTGCAAGGTGAACAATTGTGGGAGCCCGGTCGTGCACTTCGAATGATAAAATCCTCCATACAGCTTCAGAGCTGCAGATGTAACGTCCAGACTGATATTTTTCCACTTCATTTGGTGATTGTATGCTGAAAGTGACTTGATCACTGCCTTTATTAATGTACTTAGTAACATATTGAATTGACTTTATTGAATTGCACAACTCTACGTTGATGTGGGCATAAAAAATTTTCAAAAGGAGCAGATTATAGGGAACGATCCATCGGCTATCAATATCATGGTTTCGGATGGTACCATTTTGCCCACTCTGTTCTGGCGATCGTCGACGATATTTGGGATATCTGTCGTCACTAGTACTTGTTTGAGTTTGGAACGACTTTGGAAATTTTTTGCTGCATTAAGAATCTCGCATACATGGAGAATTCGGGTTTAAAGTCCCGCAAGTGCCGTGTACCATAGGTTTCTTTACGATTTCGTACAGGATAGGATCTTCATCTTTATCCGGTAATTCAGCAGAAATAACCCTGTTAATTGGTTCACTAACCACACCAGCAGGTGTACATGTGGCAAGCCACGTATCTGCCATTCTATTGTGTACATATGACAGCGTGGCGGACTGAATATATGAGACTTGTTACTTAGGTGCAGGAGTTTTTGTACTTTTAAATGGAAGACTCTGTTAACTATACCGTATCTGTCTTGTGGAGTTAAATTGGTGTTAATATTTTCTTTAATTTCCGGCCAATTTGGGTTACATGTTGCAGTTATAAATAAATCAGGTTTGCCGTAATTTCTGACGTAAGTCTTGGCGTCTTGCGATTTTTTGTGTAAATATCAAGGTCCACCTGTGAATGATGAAGGTAGTATAACCAACTGCCCAATGCCGTTGTGGTGTTCATTCGCCTGTAAAGCATCCTGAAGATGAACATAATTTTCGGCTCTCAATTTAGTTTGATTTATTATGGATGTAGGCCAATCTCTCAGATTCAATTTTCGCATATTACCAAGTATTGGTTTGTTAACATTCCATATATCTAAGCAAAGTGTTGAAATTGTTACGTCTTGTCATTATACGGTAGCAATAGTAGTTCATACATGACACTGTTTTACGCAGAGGTGTACCACCAATTGGGTCAACTTCAGAAATATTAATGGCATAACCATTTTCTCCATGACATAGCATCAAAGGATATTGTAAGCTGTCATAAGATATGTGTAACTCTGAAATTTTTTGCAAATTATCATCACGACTATGCAATACAATATCTTTGTAAAATTGCTGTCCAGCTATCACCACTGCTACTTCACTCGTGGAAGGCGCATTGTATCGTCCTCTGTGTTCTCCAACAGGAACTTTATTTGCATGGATTACGACATTAAAGTCAGGAGTATCTGCTGGAACACTCTCAATCGCAGTTTTGAAAGACTGTATGTAGCAATTATGAGAATGTAACATATCTTGGAGAGATCTAATCAAATCTCTATCAATTGGCTGTGCAACACTTGAACACCGCGTAGATGCTTGTGTATCTGGATCTGCAATAAAATATATTTGCAGAAATTTGTGATCATCGGGTCGAAGTGGTAGCAAGCTCCCAGCTAAGTGGTACACTTGCCCTTGAATTTTAAATGTAGGCATGAACCCACGCTCAACGACTTGCTTACTCTTAAAAGAGGTCATTTGAAATGCGTTATTATAACGGCGTATATTGCGCATGAATTGTTTGGATTTCTGATGATCACCCGTAAGAAGAGAGTGAAGTGGTTCAGGTGGAATGAGAATTTCTTCTAATTTGACTTTTCCTTGTAAGCAACACATGCCTTTCGATTCGTCCTTGAATTTCAATGCCAAGCAATGTTCACACACTACTGACATAGTACCTATTGATACTATACGATCGTCCTTGTAAGAAATCGAAGGATCGTAATTCATGGCAGAATTTTCCTTATTTACCCATGAATTAGTAACTCGTGCTGATGATTCTCTGGCTCTCTGTATTCGATGTCTATCCCTATCTCGGCTGCGGCAAACCTCACGCTCTACTGAAGATTCTCTCTCTCTCTCAGCTCTATATCTATCTCGAGCCTGACTGAGGCGAGCCTCACGTTCCGTTGACGATTCTTCATCTCTTGCTGAACGTACTCTTCTGGCATTCACTGTACTACGACCTATGTTCGAACGACGACGTCTTCCAGACATGACTTTATAATTTCTGTAAAAAATTTACTCAGTTCTATATGTATGATTACCTATGCACAAATTGCCATATTATTAGTATGTGCCGCAGTAGTAAAAAATATCTAAATACTTACCATTTAGAAACAAAAGATAATCAACAATCATAAAAAACAAAAGATACCTATTCTATTCAGTTCTTTTTTTTAACTGAAATACCTCAACTTAAACTACGATTTTAATTAAATTAAAAATACTTAAAAAATAATTTGCTATTCGTGCGACTAAAAACAAAAGATAATCAACAATCATCAACAACAAAAGATACGTATTCTATTAAGTTCTTTTTCTGAACTTACATACCTCACCTTAAATTACGATTTTTGAAAATAATTTCCCTAATATTAAATTGATTTAACTCTAAATTTTAACCAAGATCTTAATAGAAAATTCCAATCCATAAATTATGGTTTTATTTAATCTAATCTTATCTAACCTTATCAAATTTGTGATGTACCATTTTGAAAAAACTGTTGCAATATTCTTGGACATTTATCTTGTGATAAAAAGTATGATTTTAATAATTCGTATATTTTTAAAATATTTTCTACAGCTGGTAAAAGAGCTAGTCATCATGTTTTGCTGTAACCAATAATTCTTTTATATTCAATTTCTGCACTTTCACAAAAATACTTCAAACTTTCGACACGCACAGTATATATATAAAAATACAAATAAATTTTTTGGTACTATTCGGTTTTGAGGGCCATAAAAAATCGCCAAGTCGAAAAAATCACCTGTTGATGCCAGTGCTACCAAAAATAATTGCAGCAACCCTAACGCAAGAAAGGAAGTATAATAGTAAATGACTATCTAAGATTGATGTTTTAGTTTAGATGAAATGTTAATTTCGTATAATACTTTTTTATTATTATAATTTATATAAAAAAGGCTAAACATGACTGAATGGAAGCTTAAGAGTAAATAACTATTTCAGATAATTTTTATAATTTATATAAAAAGTGCTAAACATAACTGAATGGATGCCTGCATCGTTATTTCGCTGCTGAGTTATCGCTAAAGCATAATTTCACCTCGTTAGTTGTTCAAACATAATTTTCTATAATGAATGATGCCTTTTCTATGAAAAAATTCCCAGTAAAGTGCAGAATTGCCCACTTATTTGTTTGCCGCTTTTTACAAGGGTAAAAACAATTGAATTTTTGTCAATTTTCTTTTACTTTTTAAGTGAAAATAGGTCGATGTGTACTCAGATAATGTCAAGGGTGTGCGCAGTGCCATTTTTATGCAATCCTGGGACTTTTTTTTTAAAGCGATAATAGGTTGATGTGTACATGGATACCGAGTATGTGCAATTCTTAAAAATGCGTCAAGCAGTGGGTGATACTGCACTTTACTCAAAATTCTATTGCAGACTTTTCGTCACGGGCAATTCCCAAATTGTTAAATCCCTAGGATATTAAAAAAAAAAAAAAAAGGTTTAAAAATTAAACTAGTATTTCAATAGCATCTTAAGAAATATAGAGCTATATAAACTACACACTCTGAAATCAGCGCGTACGCTAGATTTGGTGCGTTAAATGGGCACGTTTGCTAGATTTAGCGCTTTTGCGCATACATTTTTGCTGCAATTTTTTTATGGGTCTCAAAACGGAATAGTACCAATTTTTTAAATAATGTTTTCAGCATCCACTGGAAGTCAGATGCTGTTTGAATAGTATTGTGTAGAATGTGTGTTGCTCAACCTACTGAAATAATTTTTTGGTTAAAATGGTTCATAAGTTTCGTAAAAACGTTATTGATGCCTCTTCTAGCTTTTCCACCAAAATTTACGTTAGCGTCAACAATAAAATTATTGCCTCACAATAAAATTATTTTATTGTTTCAAGTTATTCTTTTTTAAAATAGTACTTATTGAATCAAAAATTATTTATGAAGTTTCACCCGGCAGCCGCCTTGATGGTGTAGTGGTTAGGGGAGCCTGACTGCGATACCGAAGGGCCTGGGTTCGAATCCCGGAGAGGGCATGATTGTAACTGTCCGTCCCTTCATAGGAGGCAATGGTGGCCCACCTATTAGGTGCCTCCATAATAAAGAGACAATCACATCTGGCCTTAGTATAGATTAATGGACTCTGTTACAAAACTGTAACTGTTCACAATCTGCCATTGGGGGGGGCACCCGGCAATGAAACAAAATCCAATATTCTAATTTTAATTCCTGTTTCTGGATCAAAAAGTCTTTTCCCACAATTGAAGAAGCATCGTAATATATGGATATAAATGTGCATTTATCTAATTCTATCTGCAATTGTGAAAATGAATATCATGAAAAATCATTACAGGTAATTGCTTCGGTTTTTGTCCTTGCACATGCAAATGTTTTGTCATACAATGTTTTGATCATTTGCGATGTACAATCAATTGATCTGAAACTTTGATTGTGGTTTATGGTGTGGAAAGCAAATAGCTCTTCAGCTAATGCTAGTTGTTCCTCCGTTAACAATACATCTTCCTTGACAAGACGTAACGATAATGATTGAACACCAGAGTAAATCTAACTCGTTACATCACCTAATTTAATTTACTCTGCATGCATTTTATGTGATTTTTATTTCTTTATATTCACTATAATAATTAATAAATAATAGGTAATATATTTTTACAGTACATTTAAAATAAGAAATGCAGATGCTTTCTAAAAAGCAGGACATTTTAAAAATCGGCGGGACTGTCCTTCCAAAATCGGGACGTGTGGTCACTGTATCATACTTTAATTTCTTATTCTTTTTTTGGATTAAATACATATTCATAAAAGCAAGAATGGTAGCATTTTTGGTGCATATTTCTTTGATGCCTAGTGTCATGAATTTGGTTTTGCTTCTTTCCCAGTGAGAGCTATCTTTATAACTATAGCTCAAGTCAGCATGTTTTTCATCTAATCATTTTTTTTTTTCGCCAAATGCATTCTGTGACTTGTATTTGCCAGGGAATGAAGAATTGTGCATTCTGTTTCTTCAAGAAAGAGATGTTCTTCACAAAGAAAGACTATGTTCAAATAACCACCATATAAAATTTATTATAAATTTTAAATGAGACAAAAACCAAAATGGCTTTGGAACTTTAACTCATGCAGGGAAGGAAAAACAATCTTCAAACAAAAACATGGTTGAATGGATCATTCATTTTTTTTCATTAGGACTGTGTGATTCCTTTACCTATGATATCAGAAGTTTTTCAAACCAAAGCTAGCTTCAGTGGTTGATTGGAATAATTGCATGAGTAAGATACATGGTCCTATCATTATGAAGAATGCTATCAAATTATGACCATAGAATTTCTTTCATTACTGCTGTATGCTGTGATTTATAAGTGTCAGCAGTTAATGTCTGTTAAACCAAAGCTAGCTTAAAATGAACTGCAACACAAATATTGATTGAAATAATTACATTAGAGTGATGTGTACCATTTCCTTATCTTGGCCTATCATTATATAAATTCAATAAAATTGTGAAAACTGATGAAAATGTGTTCACACACTAAAAATCAAAGATAGGCTATGTTTTTCTATAATAGATTTTTGGAGGATTTTTTAAAATGAAATTAGATAATATTTCTTGCTTCAGTTCACAGTCATTCTAGTTCCTCTAGCATTTTGCCAAAAGTATGGGAAGGCTGAGACAAAAATGCTGCAGTATAGCACTCAAAATGTGTGGTATGGCTTTAATGGAAAAGTGCCAATTTATTTTATTTGAAGTTTGAATCTGATATTTATTTCAATGAGTGATTTTATTTTTTCATTTTAATTTTTAAAAAATGCTTCATTAAATTCATAAAACTGTTATGTCAACTGAATAGTATTTTATTTTAATCAAACATCACACTTTTTGACAGTATCTATTTTGAGTCACTAAAAATTCTCCCTTTTTGCCTAGATAATGTGTGATTTACTCCCAGATACAAGACAGTCTTCTATTATTTGTCCTTCTGAAAACATTTCTCCTAAAGAAAAATTGTCACAGTGTTCGAATGAAAATGAAAATGATAAAGATAATGCACCAGAAGTTTTAGAGAAACCTGATGCTTGCAGTTCAGGTAAACTAATAATTTTTGCTTGGCTAACATTTTAAATACAATAAGAAATGATATAAAATGGATTAATTTGTGAAATATTTTACTGATAATTTTCACCTTGAAACCTCCCTCTTCTCCCTACAAGACTGCTGTTAAACAGGTCAATGTACAAAGTCTGAGAGTAAAGTTTCAGAACTACTGCTATTATTCTGTTAATATTAATCACATTATGACAGAGAGAAAAAGGCATTAAAATATTTTTTTTTTTCTCTCTCTCTCTCTAACAAGGCATATGAAGCTATGAGAAAGTAAAAATCTGTCTATTTCTAAAACTTAGAAATTAGAGATATCCTGATCCTTGTTCTTATGGGTTCCCATATGAAATTAGAAAGTGAACATCAAACTTTGCAAGCAATTTCTTAGTTGAGATGATCAAAATTACTAATTCAGAAGTCAAACAACAAAAATCAGCATTATATTTTCAAAATTTTCACAGTATTGTTTGACTTGTCACAGAATATTGTTTTGTTGTTTGACTTTTGAATTAGTATTTGTTCAGCGTGTTATTGTGTGTTAATTATGATTAAAATTATTTACAAGAATGTCTGATGCTCATATGTTTGAATAGTAACTTGACATCTCATATAATTCAAGGAATGGGTGGCTCTCAGCTAACCATTCTAAGGAAATTGTGAGATGTTAAATGTATTTTGTGTTATCTGGAAGTTTTTTCCTCTTCAAAAGTATTCATAGTGTGAGATCGTACCTTTAAGATCATGACAGTTAGTTCTCCTGGAAGATTGCGCACTGTGTTTTTGCTTTTCTGTAGTATATGCTACAGAAAAAATTAATACTATCATATTTTGAGGATGAATTATTGAATAAAATAATTTTATAGTTCTTCCTTGATTCATGAGTAGCTATTCCCAAATATGTTGTTTTTAAGAAATAACTGTATCCTTTATATGTTTTTGGAAAAATGCGTAAGGGAATTAATACATTTTTAGCATAGTAATTTCATGAAATTTTGAAAAAAAATCTGAAGTAGCCATTTGTAATTATCAAATTTATAAAGGAGAAAATTCTGTGTTAAAATTTCACATTTTTTCATAGAATTTAATAAATTAATAAAATTACAAATGGAAATATTATTATGTATGCATTGTTATGCATACAATTCCATCATGACAGTTGTCAGAGCAAAATTATAAACTCGATTACACTAAAAATTAATTTTAATTAGGTAACGGCATGTTTGAAACGCAGGCTCTTGCATGAAGAATGTAATTATTTTATTTTAAATAAGTCAGAGTACCTTTTTTTCTTCTTGTTTGCATGTCGTCATTTTGAGTGTATCTTTCATCCTGTGAAATGAAAGTGTTAAATAAAGTCATTGCTGTGTTCCATCAATGGAGTTTGCTTCAACTGTGAAAGAAGTATCACAGTTTAGTCGCAATTAATGTGGCAGAGAGTGTGAAAATCATAAAATTTAAGTATCTTATTTTTGAGGTTTGCTTATTTAAGAGAACACATTTAATTCTGTGATTCCTGAGTGCATTAATTAATTAAAGTAATTAAATTAAGCTATTTTGAGGAAGCATAAAGAGCAGAGTGTTCATTAATTTTAAACATAGAAACAATGTCTTACTTAGGAAGAGCTTGTAAAGAAGATTTGCATAATCTCGCTGCTGAACTGAGAGTTCAAGTGACTGGAGATTTGAAAATAGTCAATTTAAAATCGAAAATTGTTGAAAGCAGATATTATGATGAAATATTTATCAAAGGAGTCTTAGACATAATAATACAAGAATGAAAATGGAGGGAAGAAGCAGAAGAACGGAGAAGGAAAGAGTAGTACAAATTACAGAAATTAAGACTTGAAGCAGAAACAAAGTCTCAAACTAACTGACAGGTCCAGCCAAAAACTGTATCACCTTATTCAGAAATTCGATGACAAGAAAGTATATATCAATCTATATTTGCTACTGTTTGAAAGGCAAGCAGAATAGGCTAATGTTGATAAGAAGAATATGTATCGCATTTACCAGGACTACTTCCTTATAAAATAACACAGTTAATAGTTAAAAAACCCTCCAATAAAATTAAAAACTATGAACATGGGAAGAGTTTATTGTTAAGATGGTTCGAGCTAAGCCCAGAAAAGTTTAGGCAAAAATTCATAAGACATCAAAAGACTACCGAATCCACATGGATGGATTTTAACTATGAAATAGAAAATTATTGCAAAGAATGTGTGACTGGCATGGGAGTTGAGACTTTTGATCATTTGCTAGACTTAATGGTGATTAACCAATTTAAATGTCGAGTTCCACCTAAAATTTGAGATAATTTTCTTGATGGGTGGGTAGAGATGATTTCAACCAAGAAACTAGCTGAAAAACGTGATGCATATGAAAACATCTACGGAAACTTTCAAAAAATGTCTGTAGTTCATTGGCAGAAAGAAAAATACAGTGCACAAACTCAAAGTAAAGTGAGTTCAGATAATAAAAATAAAACTGAAAATAAATGGTCATCAAGATTTAATTCGCCAAGTTGGTTCCATCGACCTAGAAGTCCATGTGCGAATGATAAATATGAAAAACGAAAGATGCCACAATGTTATTAGATGGATCCTATCGGCATTTAAGACCTCAATTTCCAAAACTTAAGAATAGTACTAAATCTTCTACTAATCTTTAACAGAATTAGTGCAAAACCAGAGGATAAAATTCTATTACTTTTTACTAGTATAGGTTATGTAAATGGTTATAAAATTCCTATATTAATAGATTCAAGTGCTAGTATTGATAAAGTTTGTTGCAGATACATCAAACCGGAAATGTTGACAGGTAAAAATGTGGGGGTACAACAGCTGTTAGATTTGAATCCAACCTGGTACCATTGGCTGAGGTCGAACTACATTGCGATCTCAGGTGAGTAATAACCCAGACTGCCATTATTAGAAATGAACTCAACAAAGGAAGGTATTTATTAAACAATCGAACTTTGTGCTGTTGAATGAGCAAAGAAACAAATCTTATAGTCATCCTCAGCAGGTTAATGTCATCTCTATTAGAGCTCAAAGAAAACAGAAATAGTTGAACGTGATGAATAGAAGCTCTTAGAACCAATGGAGGAAGAAATTGAAGCATCCAGAGATGCCTTTGAAGAAGAATTTAAATTACCAAAATTAAATGTGGAAGATGAAGCTCTCATGAAAGTACTAAATATTGTCTAAAAAAAGGTTGAAAGTAATACCGTATATATGATTCCTGAAAGTGCAGGAAACAAATTAAATGTGCAAGAAAAAAGCTTTCCATTTAAATAAAATGTCGAAATGAAATTATTATGCGAAAACAATTCGTTTTTATTGTTTTTCTCTTTATTTTGTGGGGGTATCTCTTTTCAATTTTTGTTTTCCAAACTTTTTAAATTTTCTCATGGCCTATGCACATTTGGGCAGCAAACTGTCACATCTACCTGTAAATCGAATATACATAAATTGAAAGATGTTCAAGAAAATTTGAAAAATGATAAAGAAATTAATGTTGAGAATCCTTTTGCAATGCAGCATTATCATCATCTCCCGGCTTTCGATTTAATATCAAAGGCATTAATAATAATAGATGAAGAAAACAATTGTTGAAAGCAAATGGCAATTCAATATTATCCGAAAGGCACAGATAAACTGAGGAAAGGCATTGCTATGAATTATAGCCGAGGAACTGGTCCAGCATGGGAGAGTTCAATGCGCAGTCAAGAAAAAATTGAAGACTAATTTGAATATTGACCTTTCTCTTCCTATTTAAATGTGGTGTAAAACTATTTGTTTAAAGCTTAAAATTTGAGTCTTAAGTTTGGAAACTTATGAGAGAAGTTACCTTCTTTTAAAATAATTGAGAAAGCTGAGCTAGTAAACTTTCAAATTTTACAGAACTTTTTGCTTTGGAAAATGTCTCTGTTTGGGGAGAGGTTGTAACAGCTTTAAATATTGTTGTTAAAATCGTGTACAATTTAAATGCATGAACATTCATGTATATGTTAACGACAGTGTTTGAAATGCAGGCTCGAGAGCTGCATGCAGCTCTCGCACAAAGAATGTAATTATTTTATTTTAAATAAATTAGAATATGTTTTTTTTCTTCTTGTTTGCATGCCGCCATTTTGAGTGTTAAATAAAGTCATTGCTGTGTTCCATCAATGGAGTTTGCTTCAGTTGCGAAAGAAGTATCGCACTTGGTATCATGCAGCCCTTTTACATTAAAAAGTACTATGTTACAAATTTAGAAGTTAAGTTAGCCAATATTTGCAGCTAATTATACTGACTCTGTTACTAAGAAAGTGTCTAAGTTTATAATGTTTGGTTTTTCCTTTGTATAACTTAAATAAAGATCGGTTTCTTTTTGTAAAGTCTTTCTTGAAAAGGTAACTCCTTGTACTGGAGGTGACCATAGTGTATTTTGGCAGAGTTAAGAAATCTAGGCCTAAAATTGTTGCCTAAAATTGGAATTATTATGTTGCGATGTAATGTGAAGGAACTAGATACACGTCTTCGTTTTAAACACAAACTTATATTAAATAATTGCACAATACAAGTATAAACAAGAAAATGACATATAAAACTTGTAATACGAGAACAGAACAAAAATAGTGAAGAATAGACAGCATTCCAGCTGCCTTGCGAATGTGCTCCTCTGAGTCTGACTGTTCAACTGAATTCAATGTTCTTTGGCACAGTTCCAAATGCGAAAGAGTCAGATTGAGTTGTTCTGTTCCGGTGCACCGGAACATACTCCCGCCCTATCAAGCATTAGTCCTGATATATGGGCAAAGGAGCTAATTTAAGAATGTTTCTTTTAAAAAATAGAGCTTTTATTTTTAACCGTGGCCACACGAACCAGTCCGTCTGCACCATGATGAAGTTTGACCACTTGTCCTAGTGGCCGAAGAACCTTGGAAGATGACCATCATCTAGTAATAGGACAAAGTCTTCAATTTTCATATTCGGCTGAGTGTCC